AATGGGGTGATGGGTACATGAGGTTACACTAGACCATTCTGATAACTTTGTCTGTGTTTGAGATTTTTCACAATAATTTCTGAAGTGCTTAACTTTGTATGTGCTTGAGCAGTGTGCTATTGTCTGTGAGTCCCAGCTTCGATCAGTCTTTCTGATAAACTAACTAGCTCCCCACTCCAGCTAGGGTCCTAGCCACATGGGTGCCCATGTGCTGTCCTCCAAAGTTCTGAACTGTACCTATGGCCTAGGTGAGCTTTTAAAACCACAGCTATGACCAGGCACCACTGCTCTATGCCACACATTCTAACCCTCACAAATACTTGTTCTACAATTCCTGCTTCATTACAGTATTAACTAGAAGGCAAGGAGATAGAAAAACCATCAAAATTTTGTTTTCAGAGAGAGCTGAAGTCAAATATCAGGTTTGACATTTTTAATCTTCCTAAAGCTTAATGTCCATGAACTCCCATACCCTTATCTTAAAAGGAGGGAAAAGATTGTGCAAAGGCTGCGGTTGTCTCCCTGTATGTTAGCCCCTTTTCATAGAAGCCTACTACTTTATTTCTACAGGTTTAAGGCAAACAGTCCAACAGCGTCTCACAGACCACTAGAGGGAAGTAGTGAGTCAAGCTTGCTTGACCCGAAACTCTACCACCACCAACAGCAGGGTGGATAAACTACTATGCATTGCCTTATTTGACCTTAGAACCAGAGGGAGCTGATTAAAATCATGCCGGGACCAAGCACCAGTGTCAGGAGTCTTTGACATGGGGCACTCTGTTCCCATCCCCAAGAACAGGATAGGAAAAAAAGGATGACAGCCCAAGGACCTGCCCCATTTTCCTGCTCCCGGTGCTGTCCCAGGAACTTTTCGCATCTGGCCTTTTAGGAGGTTGCACAGATGGAAGGGCAGAAGGATGCAGAATGAACCCTCCAGCACAATGGCCAGCTTCGGATGATACTGCCTGGGATCTCAGGACCTCCACAGGTAGGAGACTCAGGAAGAAAACAAGAACCCAGTATCCTTCCACGGAAATACAAGTGAAATGTGGCAGAGCTCCGTGCTCCTGAGTGCTTCCAGACCATGGTAAATTTGGAAAGCCGTCAGTGTTGAAATCGAGACACGTAAGCCTGGTTGCAGAAGTCTGATTCCTCCCTTGTCTCTATGACACATGAAAATGAAGACTAGAGTTGTGTTAGCCAGCCTTCCATCAGTATAACAAAACACCTGAGATAATCAAGTTGTAAGGAGAAAAGATTTGTTTTGTCTCACAAAGAAGTCGCTGATGATCAACTGGCCCCATTGCTTTGGGCCTCTGTGAAGCCATATATCAAGGTGGGAGCATGCAGTAACAGAGGAAGCAGCTCACATCGTGGCTTCTAGGAAGCAAAGGAAGAGAGGGGAAGAGACCGGCATCCCTCGACCCCCATCAAGGTCATGCTCCCCAGTGGCATGATTTCCTCCCTGTAGTTCTTACCTCTTAAATGCTCCATAGGTTGAGGACCGAGCCTTTAACATTTGTGCCTTTGGAGATAACTTACCCAAAACTTAGCCGAGGTATAATGCTCCTCTTTTACCATCAATTCTGATGAAATAGCCTTAATCAGACTGGTAGGGCTCCAGTGTAGTGTTTCAGCCAAGGTATGCAGGAAGGAGATGACCCAAAACAAAATCCCAGCTTTTCATCTCCTTGGTCAGGTGAATCTGCACAAGTTACTTAACTTTTTGTACCTTGGTTTCCTCATCAAGGAAATGAAGGCAATAATAATAGTACCTATTCTTCAATTATCATGAGGCTTTGCCTAGTCCTGACTATGACTTGGGTACAACAAATGTTAGCTATTACCTAATGCTAGAAGTGACAGGGATAAAGATCTTAAAATACAGAGCTTTCATAAGCCAGTCCAACACATTGAAGCCTTTACTATGAAGAAATTTTCTTAAAAGACTTGCAAGAAGTTTGTTGGACAACCACTCAAATCAACTGAAGATTAATATATTGGAAAAACTCCTGCCACACAATTAAAAATTATCTCTAAATATCTGCCGCTGAATATACGAAAGTACATTGTTTTTCTCACCTAAGGTACCTAAAGATATGGAAGTTATTCCTCAAAAGCAAATTGACCAAAGTTTTATACCGGGTTTCCAGAAGCACAATGTCTACACTTATATAGTTGCTTCATGACTAGTTGTGTTCACCATTTTTGTTGTTGTTGTTGTGACAAAATACTCAAGAATAACAACTTAAAAGAGAAAGATATTTATTCTGGCTCACGGTGTCAGAAGTTTCAGTCCATGGTCATTTGGTTCTGTTGCTTCAAGGCCTCTGGTGAGGAAGAAACATCATGGCAGAAGAGCATGATCACCTCATGGCAGTCATGCAGCAGAGCAAGAGAGAAAGAACCAGTGAGGAAGGGACTGGGACAGCATATGTACTTCCCAGCCATACCCCTTGTGACCTGCTTCATCCAGTTAGGCCCCTCTTCCTAATAACCCCACTGAGCTATGAACTCAGTAGACTAACTCATTGATGATTAAAGCCTTCATGATCCAACCACTTCCCCAAATACTCGGCTCTAAATACGGCTGCACTGAAGACCAAGCCCACAAACACATGAGCCTTGGAGGAACCTATCACATTCAAACTATAACATTAGTTGAAAGGCCAAATAATTCATCATAACTGATTATATGACCAGACAAATACTTACACTAAGATTAATCGGTGTGGCACAATGTATCTTCCAAAGATAGCCAGGACAGTATTTCCTATTCCATTTTTTAATACCTGTGCAGCTGAGAAATAGGTTTGCGTCCCCTTCCAAGGGCTTGGGCAAGACGTGATGTGACTTGCAAGACTGTCATACAAGACAGTACAGCTCCCTCCTGGCTTTACCTCGAATGCCAATGCCCAGGACCCGGCTACCACGCTGTGGTGAAAACCATGCAGCCACTTAGGAAGCCACAGACAGGTGTGGAGAGCCCCCTCACTGAGCTGACTCACCCCCTTTTGTTCCCCTCTCTCTCTAACTTTTTTCCTGAGTTCTCCTACTCCACTCTCTTCTGCAATTAATTACCTTGGACTCCAGGAACAAGGGGTCTGACAGATAAACATTTTTATGACAAGGAACCAAAACTACCCTTAAGTAACAAGGAGCCTCACAGACAGATGACCCTATGGTGAGCCTGCCCCCTCGGTGGGAGCAGCTAACCCAGGAGGGGAGCTGAGGCTGCACCCCTAAGCAGGAGCAATCATCTCAGGATGGGACTGAATTGCCCTCTGAAGCTATGACAACTTCCTGAGGCTTTGCGAAACCAGTCCTAAAATAATGATCAATCAGACCACAGCCTGACCAAGATTACCTGCTCTCCCAGCTATGCAAACCCCCAATGCCTTCCTTTGTTCCCCTTTTCTCTAAAACCTCTCAGAAATCCCATAAGCCCCTCAAAGACAGCTCTTAGGTCACTAGGCCTTTTTCTGTTCTTCCCAGAGGGGCCACAAAGATTAAAGTCCTTTTCCACTTTCATTTCCACTTTCATTACTGTTATCTCTTTGGAATCTCAGGACGAGTGTTTGAGCCTAGTCTACTGGGACCCCTGAAGCCAAAGCCTTTGTCCCAAAGCTCCAATAATAATAGGAGTTCCATCCAGCAGCCCCAACTGGGTCCCAGCCAATGACCCCCTCAGTTGTGGGACATGTAAGTACATAATCAGAAGATCCTGGGCCCAGAGCTGAACATATTGCCCCATATACTCCAGTCCCCCAAGAGATAGAGACCTACAGTACCTCATTTCCGCAGCTATCAACTCCTCCATTAGGGCAATTGTTTATACGATATTTAGAAAAACATGATTTAACTTTTATAAACACAGCTTCACATAGCACACCAAGTACACACAAATAAGGCTGGTGCCATATTTATTGCAATGGTGGAAGGCAGCAGAAGCTGGCCTGATACACCTGTTGCCCCTACTCTTTTCTCCATCCAGTTTCCTGAGTCTCCAAGGAACCCTGTTTGAGCATCTGTGCCTGTTCTACGACAGTGGTGGCAAACTTATGGCACATGTGCCTCAGTGGGCAGACAGAGCCCTCTCTGTTGGCACACAAGCCAAGTCGCCCCAGCAGCCAAGCACTGGATAACAGTCATTTTTTCTAAACTGAAACCTCAGTGTTCAGATCTCATTGCAGTGTTGGCACTCTGTCGTAAATAAAAGGTTCGCCATCGCTGCTCTAGGACTAGTACAGGTAGCACAGCTGGGGCTGGAGACCTCTCCCCTCTATCCATCTGAGCTTGGATAACACCCGAGGGCCAATCCTGCTTTCTTTCATTGCTCCTACAAAAAAAAAGAAACTAAAAAAAGAGTCAGGCAATCTCCAAAGCTCCAGGCCAGAGCGTAGATGTGTTATATCCAGTGGCCTGACGCTCAGCAACCTTCTCCCCACTTGAACTTCATGCAGGGTTCATACATAAGGCCCACATAACATGTATGTGATTAAAGCAGCATAAATTCTGGGAGAGTCACGTGTACTAAGGTGCCCTTTCGCGGTCCATCATTTCTGTCAGTCACAACCAGAGAGATACAATGAGCGGCACCTGGAGCCACGTGCACATCTTTAAATCCAAAAGCCGACTTATATTCACTCTTTTCATCTTCACTCCCTCCTTCCAGGCCCCACTTTTCCCATTCATGCCACCTCTTTGCTTCTGTTGGCACAGAGCCAGGCACGCCTTCCCGTTCACTTCAGTAAGTGCAGCTGCTTTTTCTTGTGTCTTCAGGTGTACACTTGCAAGTCTTTGCTTACCATACAAGGAAGCTGGAATCTATTTTTTGGACCCATCATACATGGTATCAGGATTATAAAAGCCTAGATGATATTTAGCAACCTCAGACGTTCTTCTGATTTTTTACTTTTATATGCTACTACGATAGTAACCTGCTAGGTATAATTGCTCTCAAGATTCCAAGAATCAGAGGTAGAATTCTGCTCATCACATTTATTTAATGAGCTCCCTATAGAAATTCTTCCAGTGTTACCCATAGACGCCCTCCTCTCCTCCCACATGGAACCTTAAAATCCACTGTACAACACATTTGCACACCACAGCTTTCCCAAAAATCTCCAGACTGGAGTAAAGGCCCCAAAAATATATATTGTAAGTCAGTGTCTGTGACATTGGCCACTTCCAGCTTTGGAGAGGTGAAGGGTTCCACTTAGTTCCTCTGGTTCTTGTCAGCCCACGAAAAACACCAGGAAGAGAGGCAACACTGGCCTCTAGTGCGCGGCCCACATTAGCTGACCTTGAGGTTCTGCCTTACAGTAGCTGAGTGGGACATCAGGAGGAGCCGCTGGAAGGCCTCGCTGTAGAAGATCCAAGACGGAATCAGGTTCAGAAGTTGCCCCTTTAACAGAAGAAAAGTCAAGTAAAGAAACTGTAACCCAAACACCTCAGTTTACATTCACGATCTTTAAGAATTATTATACAGTGAAGTCCCCAAGTCTCAGCTTTACCATTGCCAGATGGGTGGCCTTGATCTGGCTGATTCAGCTCTGAGCTCCAGTTTTCCTGACTGTAAAGCAAAACTGTAAAACCTAACCTTGGGAGATTTTTAGAATGTTTGAGCAAGGAAGCATATACAAAGCCTCCACATACAATGTGGGTGTTTTGGTTTTGGTTTTGGTTTTTGTGCCAAGGATTGAACTCAGGGTCTCTGAACAGAGCTACAGCCCAGTAGTTTTGGGGAGTGGGGGTGGGGGCACCAGGAATTGAACTCAGGACCTTGTGCCACTGAGCTATATCCCCAGCCTCCACATACAAAGTGGACTCTGTAGGCGAAGCTCAGTTCTTCCTCACTCTGGGCCCCACACCTCCCTTGCATAGACAGCATGCCATCATTATCTTGCCCTTTAGAACAGAAAGGTTGCTGTTAACCAGTTGATTTTATGTGATTACCCATCTCCATATATTCAATGATCTTTCTAAATCCTATCAAGTTCCAAACTGGTTTTAATGACTAACTAATTTTTCTTTCTCTCCTCCTTCACCACACACAAAAACTTTTCCTCCTAGTCTGTTTTTGGCATCCATTTGACTGAAGCGATTAGAATTTGTTACCTAAAAAATCAAATCAAAAAGTCAAGAAAACATTCAACTTTTGACATGGAAGAATTCGATCATGGAGTAAAACATGTAGCAATAAGCTGCTAAGCCAGGTTATTGTCTCAAGAACACATTTTCCAGCTGTGACAGATTCCATTTAGGACCTCAATATCCTGGAGGACTAGGTCAGAGAGCTCTTCACAAGGTGGAGGTAGCCAGCCACAGGAAGTAGCTAGCCTTGGAGAGGGACGGGTGGTGAGACTGTGTACAGAAATTCTCTACCTCTTCTGCACAGGAGAAGGTGGGATGTGGAAGGCGAAAAAGAGGAAGAAGTTGCTAGGAGTTGTCCTCTGCTATGTGTGGCCTCCGGACTTATCCTGGGGGCTGGGAGGCTTGGGGCGACAATAGGGAATCATGATGAGTAAGTAAGTGTGACACTGAAGACCAAGGAGAGGCTAGTCCCCACCCCTTCTCCTGGGGTACAACCACAGAAAGTTACCCAGCCTGGTAACACAGGTGTTGAGATGTGATTTTCCAGCTTCCCTCAGGTCCACACTGGGGACGATGGTGAGATGAAAGCCAGAGGGCCTCTGTGAACCCCAGCTGTGAGTGGACAGCAGACCTGGATGGGGGATGTCATAGAAACTCGGGGTCTGCAGCTCTCAGGAACCAGAGAGGCCCTGGCCTAGAAGTCCACTGGTGAATCCAAAGGACAGGGTCAACACCCTTAACACCCACAGACATGCATTTCAGCAAAGTGAGCACCACCCAGTAGATGAAGGTGACGAGTGTCAGAGGACACGCACATTAGGACGAGCGTAAGTCAGGGAATCTTTCCCCTAGTCATCATAGTGAGATGGGCGGCAGAAAGGAAACTCCTGGATACCCTGAACATTTCATCCACATAACAAACTTAGAGTATGTTTCCTAAGTGATCAGTGCACACTCTATTGGTTTTCCTGCAGAAAATAGTGATCTGGAGAAAGACCAGATCAGAGAAGGAAAACCAAAGCTCTTAGGTTCTTTCCATATGTCTGCTTTGTAGTGTGCATGGAATGGGCAGTACTGTACATTGTTGAGGTTCTGCAGTAAAAATAACAAGTGATCATAGTAAGAAAGTCCTGTGTCTCTTCTCAAAGTCTTTGCAAGTCCTAGGAAATGAGTGAATTAACTGCATCAAGCAGTGGATCCTATTAGTATCTATGGAAGAGGGAGAGAAAGAGAGACTAAAAGTAATTCTTACAGCAGAAAGGCGCCTGACACAGGGGAGACAGTTGGCATGATGGGTAAATGAGGAAGATCCGTCTAAAGCTCTGGAAACTGCACTGCATGCACATGTATGTGCCCAAGTTCATGTTCTGTGTGATGCTCAAAGCTGCCTTTGCTTCATGTTTGTGTCTTTTTCAAAGCACCCCAGGGGTGGTAAGAACTTCTCAGACCATACAGCCTGGACCTTATTTCCACATTCAGTGAAGGTCAAGGTATGCTGGCTCTTTCTCAAGGGCTCTTTCCCAGTTCCTGGGAAGTGACATCATCTTGGTAGCTTAAAATTGGCCCCAAAGGGAGTACTTACTCCCCCAAAAATCAGCAAATTCTACAAAGCAAAGTGATTTTTTTCCCTGCAAGGCTGATAAAAATTTACTGCAATGGAGAGCTAAGGAAGACAGCAGCCTCCATGTGGAAACTCTAGCTGTTTTAGTATTTCCTACCTAAGAGTTCCTGGGAGCCACTTTTCAATCTAAGGGGAGAAGAGGAGAGACACGGAGTTCACGATTGTCTCTGGGCTGAGCTCTCCATCCTCCAGCTTAGCCACATACTCCTTTTCACTGGCTATATTACACCTGGACGGCACACCCTTGGCCCTCACATACTTGCTGTGAGAGAAAGCCACTGAGTATCCCAAAAGCAAGAAAGAGCTAGCAATGCTGCCTGGGGCTGCCTGCTCACTCTCCCCACTCTACAAGAAAAGAAGTTGTGATTACCAGGATTTCATGGGCCAGGGAACCACAAACTTCATCTCCAGCCATGACATAATTCAGTGATTCTTTAACAAATCCATCAGCACTTTTGGTCATCATGCTGGGGTCTGGGTGATTTGTCATAGAGGTTGAAACAGCAAACGGTGTCAGCGCCTACGATGAAAAATACAGACCATGGCATGGAAGAGATCCATCCCAGGGAAGACACTGATAAATCAGCACCCGTTTTACCATCCCTCTATTTGCCTACTCTTTTCTTCCTGTAAAGATGTCAGGGATCCTTGTTGCCAGAAATGGCACTGAGGTGAGGATCAGAAAGTTTGATTTCCCAAGATGCGAGCTTAACCACATAGAATCAGGGACTCTGATAGCCTCCTCAGCACACAGGTGACTGAGAGGACAGGAGCTCTACCAGCAAATACAAAGAGAGGACACTCAACTAGAGATGAAGCTCAGACAAACAACCAAAAAAGTCACCATAATTAATTATATCCTAAGTAGTGCATGGGATATACTTTTGCTAAAAATTGCTCACATTTGTCTGAAATTCAAACTTAACTGGATGCTTTATACTTAATCCTATCTTAGAAGATTCCTTCTAATTCATATAACCAAAATTGGAGCAATTTAAGCAATTCATATTTCCACTGTTCCCCTACCCCAGTAAGGTGCTGTGAGAGGCCCAGACTTCACAATCTTTCCTGTCATGGCAAGAAAAATAAACAACCATACACTGTCCCCTGAAAATCCAATGTTGTTTCTACCCATGCTCTAACCACATGATGGCCTGGCATGAGGATTCTTAATCAGGTTTTATTATTATATTCCCAAATGCAGACAACTTGACATCTACAGAAAGACAAAAAGATCCATGCTAGCTTTCTTTTTTTTTTACTTGTCTTCACATCACATTTGAAATCACATTGTTTTATAATTTAACCTAATCAATCCCATTGCATTGGTTCTTAGGGAAATTAATGCTATAATTAGTATGCCTAACACTTTTCTCCCAAGGACTCCAAGGGGTTGCTTTTTGAGAAATATCAGAAGCATTCTCAATCTTAGTTTTCAGATTTTTACATAACCACACTTGGCTGGTTCCAAGGCAGGGTGGCATGGCAGACAAGCATTGCAGAGGAGAAACAGTTCAGGGCAGGCAGAAGGTAGCAAAGAAAGCAAGGGACAAGACAAGCATCCTTCTGTCCCTTATATTGGGATAGAACCTGGGATTAGGAAGTGCCAAACTGATTTTGTCATCTTACTCTTAATCCTAGCATCCTTAATCCTAGCATAATACCACGAACCAATCACACAGTCTAGATTCAGCCATCTCTAAAACCACCTCACCTATGACTGCATCAGGCTTTGGGGAACATCTAGACACAAGCCATAACACTTACTATGTGGTTGTGAAAATGATGGCTTTGACCAAACCCTTACCATTAACGTACACTTGGCTGTTTACCAAGCTGGTAGATTATAGTAACAGTCACCTAAGATATTCTCAACTGGACATTTTCATTGAAAATCATTGTGTGTGGCAATAACTTTAAAGGTATACTTTTGAAGTGTGCCATTTTAATTCCTAACAACTTGCCATAAAACTTCTTCCCGGACAACAAATCAAAACAGTACAACACAACTTCTCTGTATACTGCTAATTCTGGATTCCAGAAACTGTGGAGCTCTTGCAGCTGAAGCACATATACATCACTGATGCTCAGGAGTCACACTCTTCAGCCTATGAATCACAGTGACAACCCCACTATTTAGGGGGGGCCAGGTGATCTCCATACAGAGCACCCCTTCCCTCACTGCCCAAGAACCATAGTGTAGGGGTCACAGAGCCACAGCCCCCTAGAGAAGACTCCTTTGCTTCCCTAGTTCCAACACAGACCAAGTGCCCACTTTTCTTTTGTTCCTTTCCTACAATTCCTCCCACACAAGCCCATCTTCTGTATCTGAGTCAGAGAGGAAAAGATGGCCAGACAAGACCCCAGTTTCTGTCCTTGGGCACCACTGGGTAGCAAGAGGGTCTGTAGCACTTCAGATCATCCATATCTCTGCCCGTTTCCTCTCTCAGAACCAGGGTACAAGCAAGAGCAGCAGAAACACTAGGATTGCGGTGACTGCAGTGGCCAGGACAACATCACAAGAACCCACAGATCGCCACCCAGCTTGTCTCTCTGCTGGATGCGCACGCACAACCGGGCCTGCACAAGGCAGTGGCACAGGTCCACAGGTGTCCCAAGCTCCCATTCACAAGGACCCACACCTGTGCATCTCACCTGGATAATGATTCCTTTCTCTCTGTATTCCACTTGCAGCGCCTTGGAAAACGTGCACACAAAAGCCTAGAGTAAGACAGAGAAACAGCTCAGGTCCCAGAGCCACCTGACTCAGATTTCAAAGGGCACCACAGAGATGCAGTCAGCTTGGAGGAGACGTGGGTTAGAGAACAGAGTTTCAGTTATGCAGAGGGTAGATAGATGTCCGGGAGTCCTATTGTTCAGCATGGTGACTGTATATTGAATACTTGGAAGTTGCTGAGAGTGTAGATCTTAAATGTTCTCACCACAAAAAAAAAAAAAAAAAGTGAGGTCAAGGGTATGTTAATTAGCTTGATCTAATCATTCCACAATGTACACAGCTATTAAAACATCAGGCTGTACACCATAAATATGCATGCTTTTTATTGGTCAATTATACCTTAATAAAGCTGGATAGGGGATGAGAAAGTAGGGAAAAGGCAGCAGTTTGTCTTCATTCTCCAGTCTAGGTAGAGAGCCCTGGATCAGAAGGAACATAATCTTACAATAAATACATGCCTATGGCCACTGCATGAGGGTTAGCCTACAAGAAAGCTCTTCCATGTAAGGTGTCCATAGGGCTGGTTTTTTTTTTTTTTATGCAGCATGGAGAAGGGGAACCAGGCTAGACCTCCAGGACCTCCAGAAAGCCACAGGACCATGACTGGGAAGAGAACAAGGCCACCCAGCTAGGGAGTGTCTGGGCTGGAACTGTACTGCCCAGAGGGGCACCTTGTTCTAACGTGTATTCAGACCCTCCATTGGCTAGCTCTGTCTCATAAAACTGCCTCAGGTCCAGCCTGTCTATCAGCTAGCACTGTGGTCCAAAGGAAAATGCTGCCCAAGAGAAACAAAAGGAAGAAGGAAGAAACTCAATGATTTATCACTCACCTTGGAAGCTGAGTACAAGGAGTACAGAGGCCAAGGACGGAGGGCTGCCCCTGAAGAAATGTTCAAAATGAGACCTTTCCCCCTAAAAAAGCAAAGAAATAAAGTTTCCATTGCTTTGCTGCCTGATCCCACCTTGGGTAGAAAACCACCAAAGGGACTGTGTATGCCCTCACACCCTGCTCTCCCTAGGCATTCACGGTACTAAAGTGCTATGAGGGAACCTCCCCTAAGTTCTCCAGGAGCACACTGCACAGTGGTGTAGCTGGCAGGCATGTGACACTAAGGGTGTGTTATTGGAAACAGAGGCTCTGCTAGGACAAAGTCTCCCCACCAGAATATAGATCCTGCTGGGACAAAAGTCTCCCTGCCAAAATACAGATGGCCAACTCAGCTCAGACAAGATTCCAGGAGGGAGGGGTCCTCCTGTTTTAAATAAGCTGCAGGTCCCTTGGACCCACAAAGATGCCCCACAGCAGGACAGATGTCCCCATGTCAAGTGGAACTTGATAGTCCATTGGTGGCTCAAACAGACACCGGGGGCTGTTGACAACCCCCGGGGGCCTTCCTTGTCTTTTTGAAATGCAGTATCTTTAATCTTCCCAGTTAGATGTTTGGAGGGCAGAGGAGGGGCAAGGGACTGCAAGTGCAAAACCAAGCCAAGCCCTTTATTACTCTAGAGAAGCTAAAACTATCAAGCATTTGTTTTTAATAAGAAAAGCCAGCTCCTACCCTCAGATTGCAATAAGGTGGTATACATAAACATGAAATAAATGAAGAACCTGATCAGTTGGAGTGTTCATTCTGACAAAGGCTGAAATTCATAACAAAGATATGGTCTTGGTCTCTGGCCAACTTGCTTCTTTTATGCTCATGAGTTAATTTTTTGTAAGCCAATATGTGCTGAAACAGCTCCTTTCTTCTTCCTTCTAATGTGTGTTACCCCTGACCTTCAAATACAAGGATCTGTTTGAAGAGCTGGCCTGGCCTAGAACACTGTGTTTTCTCCCCGATAAGCTCCATGTACTTTCATTCTGGTTGTTATCACTGGTTAAAGCAGCAGCTGGATGGACCCAATCCCCCAGGAGTGCCCTAGTTAGCTGGCTCCAGGGCAGAAGGTCATGTTGCTCAAGACTTTCAAAGACAGACCTTACCTTGATTCCATGTGTCTCAGAACCAGCTGTGTCATCTACAAGAGAAGGCCAAAGTTAAGCCCTGACCCAGGACCACGGAGCCATGAGCATTCTTGCAGGGAGGACACACTCGAGGAAGCTGAGGGGAGAGCTGAACCTTCTCAGCTGAACTTGAAAGGTGCCAGCACTCATCAGAGGTCACTCTCACAACCTACGAGTGGGGACAGAACTCCAGGAGGCCATGAAGACAAACAGCAAATTATTCAGAGGGTTTTAGTTTCTTCCCCCTACTGTCTTCCTGGCAAATAAGGCCATTGTGAAGTTGTGGAATTGGCTTAGGACTGTGGGATGAAGAGTGTGATTCCCAAGGTACTCATTACTTTGAACGACAGGCAAAAGCATGTTGGCCGGCACATCCCTAATCTATGAACTGGCAGTGGGACCAGATGAAGACCTAATGAAGAACCTATGTGCATCTCAGACACAGCTCTTCATCTCAACAGCAGCAGCATACTTAGCCTGCAAGGAAGTCTGGGACACCGCTCTGGGGACAGAACACATAGCTACTCCCATTTCTTGGAATTACAACCACGTTGCAATGTCCTCTCCCTTCCAAACCTACCAACCCCGAGGGTGCCAGTTCTGCAAGCTAAATATTCTATTTAGAGAGATTTCACCAACTAATCATGAGGCACACATTTTCAGAACTGAGAAAGAGGCAGTTTCATGGACTGAAATGTGTCTAACACGCGCTGGACTGGAACCAGGCCTTGTCCTAGGGGCAGGTTTGAGACGGGAAGGGTCCAAATGGAAGAACAAGGACAGCAGACATCTGTGACTTTTTTCCTGTGCTGTCCAGGGGCCCTATGGCAGCTTCTCAGAACCCACTGCTACCACTGCTCTCGTTCCCAAGCCTGGCTCCACATCCCCAGATCATGCTATTTCTGGGGGGTTGTGTGGGGCTCTCTAGAACCCCCTGATCTGCCTCTGAAACAGGGGCTTTGGAGGGAGGCAAGAGAAGGATGAGGGACTAAACTGTATTGTCCTGTCCCTGCCTCCCCAGCTCCCCTGGGGACATTCTCTAAGTCCTGTTGAGACACCAGCATGTCCCCAAAGTCTCCTGTAGGAACTCCTGAGCCTTACAGGGTACAGAGTCCCAGTTAAAGAGATGATACTGGACGGGTGGTCCCTGTCCCAAAACCCCATATTTAGTCTCATCTCACCTTCCCATTGCCCTCAAAGTCGTTCTCCCATCTCTGCCCTTGCCAGAGAACTCGACTATTTCCAGATGGCATCTTTGAAGTAATTAAGTGACACTAATCATGCTGCCAACCAGCAAGGCTCATTGGGGCATGGTATATTTAGAAGCTAATGTTTCATTTCTTTCTTTGGTTACTTAGGGAACTCAATATCTATCAACAAACAAAACAATTTTTTTTTTTAAAAAACCAAAGCATTTCTCTGTAAAGGCATCAGAGCGTTGTCAAATCCATTTGGGGAAACCTATATGATCAAACAGCCCAAGACTGAAAGATCAATGTGTAAGATTTTAGTGGTAAGGCTGCAGACAACAGTTGGACATATAAAACTTAAAATTACATCAGCTGGGACCTTTAAAAAGCATAAAAAGTGTGTGTTTACTTAATAATAACCAAGCAGGAAACTATAAAATACCAGCCCGCTTACAGAAAACAACCAGTGGTAAAGATAATTGTTGTCAGCCCAGCTTACCCACCTGAAAATAATTTTTTTGTTCTGCATAGCTTACATCACCCCTCCTGTCCTGTTGACAGCAATCTGGTTTTTCTTGGAGAAATCGGTCCTCCTCCACTACCAGTCTAGGCTATTCAGATGAGTAAAACTGGGTTTCTCTGACTCTCTACAGATGGGTCCAGCTCCTTGGAATCAGGGCTCTCACTTTACTTAGCTCTGCAGCTCCACTGCAGCTCACAGAGTGGTCACGGGACCGCCACGTACAGCCGTGGATTTTGTGAACTGAGCAAGGTGGTCAGCTGTGGAGTGAGTACAGCCAGAAAGTGCAGGGCTAACTCACTAGCTATACACTGTGGTAGAGACCGAGGGCTTGATGCCCTCAAAGGAAGGAGAAACATCAAGTTCACCCCAAATCAGCCTGTACTAACCAAGTTTCACGGCCCTTGGCTGACTTCATTCTTAAGCAGCACTGTTTTCTAAATTGTCTGTCCAAAGGGTTTGCCTTTTCCTTATCCATGCAAAGGCACAGCATAGGACAGCTTTGAAGTCACACTATAAACAATTATTCAGCTGACCTCAATCAAAGAACCTAAAAGCTGAATGTACCTAAGATATGCATGGCTGGGTCGAACACATATGTAATAACAGATGCAGAGTCTGAAGTTCAAGGCGACTAGCTAACATGCCCAGTGCTGTCCAACTACTGTACCTAGTAGCTGAGATGTTCCCCATGGATCCGAGGGAGGCACATTCTAAGACTCTGAATGGATGCCCGAAATCAAGGTCAGTACCAAGTTCTATGAATCCTGTGCTCTCTCCTTCTCAGACATACCTATGGTAAGTTTTAACTGATATATTAGTCATACTAGGAGATTAATAATGGATAATAATAAAGTGAAACAATTATAAAATAGCATAATATAAATTATGCTAATGTGATGTCTCTTTCTCTCTCTCTCTCTCTCTTAAAACATAGAATTTCCCATGTAATATTTTGGGATCATGGTTTATCAAAGGTAACTAAAACAGTGAAAGGCAAAACCATGGATAAGGGCTTCAAGTAAACAAATACTTTCTGAATAACAAAGGTCCAGAAAGCGCAAACCATGTCTTTTGCCATTCTTCCCCACAGAGTGAACTTTCATCTACTTACAAAGACTAAAATTAGAGAAAGGTATTAAATGTTTAAAGTTGCCTTGGAATCCTGAATACATTTCAGCATCATCAGGCCTACTATGTTCTACCATGCCACAAAACAGAACATAGAAGTAGGATTCAGATAATAAAATGAATACATCACTGTATTTTCTTGGTGAAAGCAGAGTAAAATAGTCAAAAGGCCAGGGCATGGCTTCTTAGTCAACAGTGGCTCAATTTCAAAGATTCCCTTGAGTTCCCTTGAGCTGACATATTCCAACAACTACTACATTTTAGTGCATTTAACACATAGATTGATCACATACCTTGATTACTGAAGTGATGTTACAATGGATGAGGCTCTGTAGTAAATAATCACAACCAAGAATCAGCCTGATTGTTACAGAAATTGTCTTGGGGAATATTCAGTGCTAAAGAACCATAAAGTGGGCCAAAACTCATGGCTGGGTGGCTCTATCTCTCACTCAGCCTGTGTGGAAGACCAGCTGGATGACTCTCCTTGAAAGAAAAGCAGTTATCTCCATTTTGGCTAAACCTGGCCCTATTTCTTATTCTCCTATTGATATGTACAGAGCTGGCTATTGCTTTTCCTTGTCCCTTCAACTGGCTTTAAGCAAAGCAAATTGGTCCAGCTGAGGTGCTGATGTGCAGTGTTTGAAGCAAGGTGACAGGGTAGTGTTACCCCACCCCCATAGCTCCCCCATAAGCATGTGTGAGCTGGGTGGGGATAGAGAACTGTGCTCCATGCTGTTGTTGGGATCCAGCCTCAAATAAGAGGCTATGACTCCCCAGGACAAAAAAATTATGCATTAGAGCAGAAGCACCAACCCCAAAACATTAGATACTACCTCAACTGTGTTATGCAAATTACTCTTTCTGCATATCCTTCTCTCTGCATATTGCAGAGGTGATTTCAGGCCTCCTACCCAGCCCAGCTCACAGCACTCACCTACTTCCCACCATTCTCACAGTCACTCATCCTCAAGCTACTCCCTTCTTCATGAATTAATAAAACCCAGGTTCGGCCCTGGGTTGAGGCCTTTGTTCCAGTTAGCCACCAGTGTAGCTGGACTTAGGACCCCTTGGCTCCCTGTAACTACAAATATGCCTTAGTGTCTTTATTCTCGCCATGGGTTGCAATGGAAGTGACAGATTGGAATTAACCCACTAGAATTCCAATAACTTTTCCATGGGATTACAAATATAAACTTCCTGGACTGTGACAAGCACCATGAAGGGCTCTCTGTAAGCCTGAAAATTAGTCTCCTAATTGATTTTCAGCAGGGATAAACTAGAATGGGAAAACATATGCATTCATTCTATGATTCTACACATATCTGATGTTGTATATAAGTCAATTAGAAGCTTCCTTGAACATGTAGGGAGGAATAGAATTGGAAAAGAATTTTTTAAAGGAAGAAACAGATGGTCCCTGACTTACAATGGCTTGACTTTGTGATAGTGCAACTGCATTGTGTGTACAGTAGAAACTGTGCCTTGAGTGTTGAATTTGGATCTCTTCTGGGGCCAGTGATGTGCAAAGTGACAACTTCTCTCAGTGTTGGGCACTGGAAATGAGGTGCAGCTCCAGTCGGCCCCATGACCAGGAGGGGAACAGCCAAGAACTGCAGTATGCAGTGTGAGGTGGGAGTAGGTAAGGTGTATTAGATGCATTTTTGACTTTTGATATTTTCACCTTGTGATGGGCTTACTGCAATGAAGCCCATCTAAGTCAAGGAGCATCCATATGCAATTATCAGCTGGAGGAAGAAGGGTTAGCCTACGTGGGCCTAAGAGACAGCAGCACAGAGGGTAGAAACATGAGTGGCTGTGTGATAGAAGATCGAGGTTCTGGGTTATATAGGATAGTTACAAAGATAAATAAAATTACCAGACTCTCCCAAGACAACAAGAGAGACATGGTCTTGTGCCAGGAACACAGAGTGAGGAAAGCAGGGGCAACAGGGTTGACATGTGGTCCAGAGAGGAGTCGGGGGAGGGTGTGCAGCAATGTCCCAACTGCCCAGCACAGGAGACACAAGTCCAAAAGGCGGCTCTGGGACAGCTGTGGAATTGAGGAGAGAAAGCCTAACAGCCTATTCCTAATGTCAGAACCCCCCTGGCTTCAAAGGTCAGGGTTCTGGAAAGGCTGATTAAAGGGCCTCTGGGTACTGTTACATGCTCAAAAACTTTGATCATGGCTCATGGCCAAATGTCAGCCGTGGGTCTGAGCAAAGTGGGCTGAACTTATAATCCTTCCCACCCAAAAGCCTGTGTCATGTATATCTAGCCCTCCCTACTGCAGCCTCCATACCCATGGGTCCAGTCAACTATGGATGGATGAAAATTATTTTTTAAATGTGAAATATACAGAGTTCTTGTCATTTTTCCCAAACAATATAGTAAAACAACTATTTACATGGCATTTGCATTGTATTAGGTATCATAAGTAACGTAGATGAGATCTAAAGTATACAGGAAGATGTGCCCAGGTTCCATGCATTTTACCTATGGGACTTGAGCATCCACAGATTTAGGTATCTGCAGGAGTCCTGGAACCAGTACCCCTTGGATGCTGAGGACAAGTGTTACTCCTTCACAAAAAAGTTAAATAAATCTTGCTTGCTTAGGAGGACAGACAAAGCCAAAGAGATGGACTGCTTCCCTGTACACACATAGCTATGAATTCATTGAGAAGAATTACCCTTTTATCAAGCACAGTGCAGAGCTTCAAAAATGGGACAATGGGCAGGAAAGTTCTGATGTGCAGAAAAGGGGGAAGATGTCCCTATTCAAGAGATAGTTCTGAAAAGATGGGCCTTGGTTATGACATCTAATACTAAAGTGAAAATAAAGGGAGATCTCAAGATATTCACCACGCAATAGAGAGTATGCTTCCCATGATTCCTTCCCCAGTCCTATTAGTCATGCGATGCTGGGAGTCAGTACTGTGCTAGAGGAAGCCATACACAGAAGAGCCCAGACCCACCTGGATTCCATCTGGTGTGGAAAGGAAACGGCTTGGGACACGGCTTGCAAGCATTCCTACATTGTTGACTGATAGAAAGGGTAAAACAAAAATGGGTCAGAAGAGCAGGTAGGAAATTTTCCTAAAGAAGCATATACATAAAGATTTAATTATACTCAAGATAGTTCCCACAACATGATTTGATAACAGTAAGAAAATGAGATGGGAAAAAAATAATTTTCCAAAAATAGAAAACTCATTTAATAAATCATGGTATATTGTCATGAAATTAAAAACTATAGCTGCTTGGAATCTTAGAGACACAGGAAAACATGTGACATCAGTTTTTTAAGTATAAAACAGTATGTACATATAATTCCATTTTTGAAAATATGTATGTATATATCTAAAAAATGTTATCTCCAATTTTGAAGATTTTAAGAAATTCATATTTCTTCTATGTGTCTATTCTCTCAAATTTTCTACAATAAATGTTTTACATTTTTATTTGTGAATATATAATGTTTTTAATTTGACAAGAAGTTTAGAAATTAAATCTTACTTTCTAATATATATAATACATCCTACAGTGCAGGTGATTATAAAATACCTGTCTATAAATCATTACAGGGAATATTATCTTTTTTCTGAGTAAGAAATTTCAATTCTTAAATCAAATCACCATACTGACTCTATTTCACAGATCAGTGAAAGAAATGTTGGTTTGTCAAACTAATTCTTCAGGCCAGTTTCTAGGATCACTCTTCCTGTCAAATGGTCAATATCAGTTCTGTGAAAAAAAATCACTTTAATATTACAAAATATCATTTGGAAGCTTGGAATATATATTTAACACATTCCAAAACCATGTATAATTTTTTAATCCCATAATTCCTCTTGAAGAATTGAGTTTTAATAATCAGTTTAATGTTGCAACTTAAAATACAATGAAGAATTAAAGTTAAGATACCATGGAATGACCAAATGTCACTAAGATAATTATTTCAATGGTACATTACAACAAACTTTGCGTTTTGTAGTTTACTTACCTAAGATTCCAATTTCTAAGCCTTTAAGGTTTTCTTTAATATATTCATAGATGTCATCTTTGGTAAAATCTGCTTGTATAATCTTCACACTTGTCCCTGTAGTCCACTCTGCATTAGAGACAACAGTTATTTCTTGAGGAACAGGGGTTCAAATTCCCCTCTGCCCCATGAGGTTCCCTGATGCTGACTTTACTACCACTATCATCTTTGTATTTCCCAGTTACTATAGTGAAAAGTATTTGCACTGAAAGAGATTTAACGCAGCGGTTCCCAAAGTGGGGACTACAGCTCCACTGGGAAACTTGTTAGAAATGCAGATTTTGATTTCCATCACAGACCTACTAAATAGAACCAGTCATGTGTCTGGAAAGATCTCCAGGTGTCTCCTGCGCATGCTCAGGAGACCTCTGGGCCAAGGGCTGGAAAAGCAGAACTGCTGCAGCCTCTGCTCCGTAAGGCCACAGACACACCAGTCCGTGTGTTTGCCCAGCACTGAGGCTGGACACATGCACAGTCTCATGTCTTAATCCTCCCTACAACCTTGTGAAGTAGAGAGTATTATTCCCATTTTCCAGAACAGAAAACTAAGCCTCAGAGAAATCAACTAACTACCCCAAAGCACCCTCACTTTGCTCATTCCAAATCCACTGCTCTTTCTGCTAGTCTGTTACTATGCCTTGGGCAGGAGTTTTGGGTCAGACATAAAAGCAGAGTTTATCAATTTCTTGATGTATTCCTCTCACTTTGTAGTTAGACCCAATATTACTGCATCAAGCAATACTGAGGCATAATTTGGGAATGCAGTGTGCTTTGGATGCAAAAACGCGACTTAGTTCTCGAAAGGATGATTGAAGAAGAGCACAGTTTAGCATTGTAAGAAAAATATTCAAGAATGTCTTGGTCCCACTAGCACTCCTTCTCATATCTAGACAGAATACAACCAAAGTTCATCAGTTCAAGGGTACTGAGCTGCCCTGGTGTGACCCCACATCTCTCACATCCTTCTCCGTCTCAGATCCCCCCAGAGGAGTAAGGCTGATCCCAGAAGGTCTGCAATGGTCTTCTGGAGTCTTCATAATCACTCATCCCTTTGAGTTAAAAAAAAACCTTACTAATCATTAATAAGTATTAAATATCAAACACCCAAAAAGAAATATATGGTCAGTGTTAACCAAGAACACTTCCAGCAATAGTCATAATAAAACATTATAGTATAAAAGCTACTTCTTAGAGCTTTGCAGAATACAACCTCTGCAACCATATGTAGCAGATCTAGATCAGATCTTTTTTTAAAACCGGATGACCACCAGTAAGCACTATCCTTCACTCTCCTGCAGGAAGCAGAGCGTAGACATAGGGAAGTGAAGAACAATGCACAAATCCTGCTTCAGAAGGGAGTAGAAGTTACCAGGCAGCTGGGTCTTGGGATGAGCAGGGATGATTCTAAGGAGGTGAGTGCTGGATCAAAGGAGAAAGTACCTGCGCCTCATCCTGCCTTGCAGAATCCTAGCCTACAGAATCTATGGCAGGTGAAAGTCTGCACCTCAAACCTTACGCTTCAGTTTGTAAAACAGGCTAGTCCTAGGATACATGGTTCCCAGGCTCTGAAAAGCAGAGCAAAGGGATTGCAAATGAGGACAGGGGCTGGCTGGGCGAGTGGCTCCATGTACATCTCCCTTGCTTGTGACAGGATGGGGAGAACTCACCAATCTCAGTGGCAATCGTCTGGAGTTTTTCTAGTGTCCGGCTGATAAGTACAACACTGAGTCCTCGTCTTGCTAGCTGGAGGTGAGAGCGGAGAAAACCAAAAACAGATGAAAAAGTTATACAGACAGGGAGGATTGCTCCCCTCTCTAATGCAGAGGTGAAAAATGGGTCTCCAGGTGCCATTCTTGGTTGTGGGGTAAGGTGTCTGCTCCACCAGGGCTTGAGCCATGCAGAATAGGACAAAGGTTGCTGAGATTTGAACAAAACAGTGATGAGGGGCTGGGCTACAGGAAACAGTATAATAGGCATTAGTGCATGGTGTGTGTTTACTATGCACCAGGAACTATTCTAGGTACTTTTCTTTACACACCCATGATCCAAAAGCCCCTCAACCAAAACACACAGGATTTGCTGTGTCCACATCAAAATATTGCAGACTTTATACTATATAGAGTCAGCCCTCCAAATACATGGTTCCTCATCCACAGATTCAACCAAGCCACATGCTGGAAATATTGGGGCAGATGGGTATCTCTATTGAACATGTACAGCAGGGTTTTTGTTTCTTGTCCTTTTTCCCTAAACAACATAGTATCAGACTATCTACTAGGCATTTCCATCATATTAGGTGTTATAAGTAACCAGGAAAGATTTAAAATGTACAGAAGGATGGAGTAGATGATAGGCAGAGCACTGAGCAATTTTATGAGGGACCTGAGCACCTGTGCACTTTGGTGTGTGCAGAGGCCCTGGGCCAGTCTCAGATAGGGAGAGATGGCTATAGTACTAAGTAGCAAGGTCCACAGTGCACCGATGATAAAAATGGCATTTCTGTGCTGGAGGGGCTGTGGGGAAAAAAGAATACTTCTCCACTTCTGGTGGGAGTTTAGACTGGTACAACCACTGTGCAAATCAGTGTGGAGATTCCTCAAAAAACTAGGATTAGAAGCCCCACTTAACCCAGCTATTCCCCTTCTGCGCATTTTTTCCAGAAGAACTGAGAACATTATACCACGTGATATATGTGCACTCATGTTTATAACAGCACAATTTCTAATAGCTAAATCTTGGAAACAACGCAAATACCCATCAACTGAGGAACAGATAAAAACGATGTGGTATTTTTATACAGTGGAGTGTTACTCAGCTATTAAAAAGATAAACTCAAGGTTTTTATAGGTAAATGGATGTGAATAAAGACCATACTCATAAGTGAAATAAATCAAACCCATGTGTGTAAACATCGTGTTGTCTCTCTAGTGTAAAAACCTGAAAAAGTAAATAAAATCTGAAAGGTACAATAGATATTGTGAAAGGGAAAGAAACTCCCCAAAGGGAAGGGACTACTGGGATGGGAGTAAAGAAAAAAGAAAGAAGGAAGGGGAAAAATATATATGTATATACAAGGATAGCTGGGATAATTGTACTGTTGATTTCTATTGCTTTATTGAAAGGAACAGTTAATGCTTAATTTTTTTTTCTTTTTAGTTGTTTTTGTTTTTTTGTTTTTTTGGTTTTTTTTTTTTACCAATTTTCCAAGCTTATATCTGGTAATATGAACAACTAATTTGAAGACAACAATGTGCAATATAACAACCTTTGTTGAATTCCTATCATCTTATTTAGTGAAATTCTGTATCATTTCTAATGTGGTTTTTTTTTTTAATTATTTTTTATTCTCTTTAACAAATAGAAAAAAGAAAAAAAGATAGCATTTCTCCAGCAATTTTTGAACTGTTTCCTATTTACCCAAACATTCTTATGGTGAATCACATGACAGGAGAACTTTCTTTTTTTGTCTCCTGACAGGAAAGGAAATGGAACTGAGGGTCCAGGATGAAAAGTCAGCTGCTTCCCAGGCATCAGCAAAGGCAATGCATGCACCCGGACTGAGCGATGTACACACTGACACAGCCAGAGCAACAGTGATTCCTCGGGGAACATGTAAGCGTGCTGTGTTGGGTGCCACAGGAAATCCTAAAATAGGTTTTACCAAAGAAGAAAGTTAAAACTTTGCCCTGAAGAACAAAATGAAAAAAAAGAAAAAATCAATATTCATTTGAACAGGTTGATGACATTTGAGTTAGTGAAAAAGGCCCCAGCTTATTGAAATCTTTTTCTATGGGTTTAGTCAAATTACTTATATCATTATCTTTTTAGCTGTGGCAAAAGACACATAACATAAAAGGTACCATCTTTCAAAAAATTTTTATTAGTACGTGCTTGCAGTACATTTATTGTGGAGAGTTCATACAGGCACTTAATGAATGCATTTTTTTATCCCCTTCCCCTCCCATTCCTTTCTCTCCCCCAACTCTTGGTCCCCTTTTCATTTACAGAAGCTCTATTTCCATTTTTCTCCAGTTCTCCCATTTTGAAAAATCCCTTTCCCTTTCCTTTCCTCCTCCCTCCCTCCATCTCTTATTCCCATTCCCATTTGAAAACAATCTCCCTATTTCCTAGTATCTATCTTATTTTTTTCTTTATCTATACTTTGTGTTTCTCATGTAAGAGAAACTATGTGATATTTCAACTTCCATGTCTGATTTATTTCATTTAACATTATGATCTTGAAATGCATCTATTTACCTACAAATGCCTCACGCTTATCCTTCTTTCTGGCAGAGTAGTACTCCCTTGCATATAAATAACATATCTTCCTATCCTTTCATCTGTTGATGGGCATATAGGCTGTTTCCAAGATGTAGTTATTATAAATTGTGCTGCTAGAAACATGGATATGCAAATATCACTGTAATATGATGACTTTAACCCTTTCAGGGAAGATATTTAGAAGGGAAATAGCTGGGTCAAATGGAATTTCCATCTTAACTTTTTGAGGACTCCCCACCTTGATTTAAAAAGTAGTTGTTCTAGTTTACATTCCTACCAACAATGTAGTAGCTTTTCTTTTTCCTCACATCCTTGCCAGCATTTATTGTTGTCTGATTTCTTAATGATAGCCATTCTTTCTGGAGGAAGACGATATCCCAGTGCTGTTATAATTTGCATTTCTCTAATGGCTAGTGATGCTGAACATTTTTCATATATTTATTGGCCATATGTGTTGCTTCTGAAATCTGTTGATTCATTTTGTTTACCCATTTTTATTGGATCTTTTATTTGGTGGAGGTCTAACTTTGGAGTTCTTTATCTCTTCTAGATGTCATTCCTCTGAGGAATAGCTGACAAAATTTTTTTCCCATTCTGTAGGTAGTTTCTTCACTCTGTTGGGTGTTTCCTTTGATGTACAGAATCTTTTTAATTTGGTATGGTCCCATTCATTGACTCTCAGTATTAATTCTTGTGCCACTGGGGTTCTGTTCAGAAAGTCCTTGCCTATGCCTATGTCTTCAAGAGTTTTACCTATTTTATCTTCCAGAAGATAGTGTTTCTGTTTTAACATTTCAAAACTTTGATTCATAAAATATTTTAACAAAATATTAACCTGAATTAGTTAATATAGAATAAACAACGCTGTGAAACAAGTAATCACTGAAATCTCTGTGGTTTAACACTAGTTCTTATTCATGTTCCTTTAACTGTAGACTGATCTTTGACTCAGATACCCAAAAACCTAATAAGCAAGACACTGTGGCCCCTCAGTTGCTCTGACAATGGTACTTTCTGCTCCTAATAGTTAGGCCTGCTACCCAGATGTGCTTCACGCAATAAAAGTAAGAGTGGTTCTCCTGGACTCGATGAAGGTGAGAAGCAATGTGGGGTGATCTTAGATTCTACCCAAACACCTGCCTTGAGGGTGAAGAGACCTTGGCAGAAGTGAAGTTGACAGGAAAGTGAGACACTACAAGGACCAAGGAGGTCACAACACAGGAGGAGAGATCAGCTGGGGGCCAGGACCATCCATAAGGGGCATTCAATAGGGGGAAAAGAGAATCACAGAAAGACCCACAGGGAGAGCAAGGTATCCTCTTAGGACAGAAAAATCTGTGTGATCCTCTCCTTTCTCCTCTCTCTCACCTTCTCCCATCTCCTGCTCCATAGATTCAGCCAGGTGCAGACATCTCCATTAGCCATAATGAAAAGGAGAAATGCTAGACTAGAAATGCTAGCTAAATACCATTTATTACCTGTCCTATCCTGTTATTACAGTCATATAAAGGAGAGAAATACTAAAATAAGATAAAAGGGTTTGGGTAGCATATCTGCAAACTCAATAAATGAGATTTGGTTTAATTTACTAAAAGTGACAGATATTGAGATGAGCCAAAGACAAAAAAATAAGTCCAGTTTTGAAGGCTGAAAACCAAGGAATGGAAAAATAAATACTGTACTTGGAAAATGGAAACAAAAAGAAAGGTATAGGAGCAATATTAGTGTCAGACAAAATATAACTCAAGGTAAGGACTAATAAAAAAGAAATATTCATATTAATAAAACTGAGATTATTAGTTGCGTTAGTGTTCCCATTGGCAAGATGAAGTATCTGACACTCACAACTTAAAATAAGAGAGATTTAATTTGGCTCCTATTTTCAGGGGATTCAGTGCATGGTTGGCTCCAAGGCAGAAATATTATGGTGGAAGGAGGTGGTGGAAAAAAGCTGCTAACTTTGAGGTGGTAAGGGAGCAGAATACAGAGAAAGAGTTCCAGTGAGAGGAAGTGTACCCTCCAAAGGCACACCCCCAGTACACACCTCCAACTGGGCCCTACTTTCTAGCAGCACATTCAGCTATGGACCTCCCTGGATTAATTCAATGATGAGTATACAACATCACGATCCAATCAATCATCTCTTTAGGAGTCTTTTAATTCAGTCAAGTTGACAATTAAGATTAACTGTCACATTAATATTGAGCCTATTCTATTCCTGACAATATAATGTCAAAATATTAGAAGTGGAAATTAATCCAAGTAGAAATGATTGACAGATTTACAACCATTGTGGGGCATGATCGTGTCTTTTTCAGAAATAGAAATATAAAGTACAAATAGTGTTTTAAATTAGAACTGATGAGGCATGATCAATCATTTTGTTTCCCATCACTGTGGCAGTTCCTTCTCTGCCTCTGGCCTTGTCATGTCACTGACCGCTTTTAGGTGAAACAGGGCCC